TCTGGACAAAACGACAATTACAATGGAAAAGCCCAGATGTCGAATGATAAAACGGATTCAGTGGCCAAACTGATTCAGCCGGCGCATTCGGCCTGGAAAACATATATAATCGACCACCCGCTGGACCCCATAGCGGTCAATGTGATCGGTTGAAAAATCAGTTTTAGAGCAATACTCAACCAGCGTCGTGATGGTAGCTGACAAGTCAGGAGGAAGAAACCGAACAGCGACCAGTGGGCAAGAGAGCCAATGAGCAGCACGAACACAAAGTGACCAAAGACAAGCATACCGACTGGACAAGAAGGAATTAGAAGGTAGCCCTGTGAGCCACTTAAGATCTCGGTCCAAGTCAAACACAAGCGAGTTCTCCCACGGGACACGATTCGGATCGAATGGCACATCGCAAGATAAGAGCTGAAAGGCCGAACGAGCGAAACGGGCAGAGCCGACAGAGGAAAAGCCAATCAGCATCTCGGACACAACCACCAGCTCACATTTCCAAAGAACTAAGTGAACCGACTATACCACCTCTCAATTGATTTCAGCCTTAATACAATCTCTTTAATCCGTTACCCATCAACTTTCGTCCGTAAGGCGTAAAGTTTAATCAGCCATGGCCTCTCGTTGCGCATAAATCACCCGTGCACGCACACAGCATAGGGGTACCGATGAGGCGCTCAGACCATTGCAAACCTGTGTGTGTGTCTTGTGATGCAGTACAGGCTAGCTGATCGCGCTTTGCGAGTGTGCGTAGTCGCCTATTGGCACACACAGATAGCAGAGGCGGGTCACACTGAAGCCAGTTGCACGCAGTTCAGCAAACATGCGCGTGGTCCAATAACGTGGCAAAGCCTAGATCTAACGGTGGAGGCACGCAGTGGTCACATGTATTCGTGCATGACTGCAGTTGAGGGCTCTGGTCCGTGCACGTGAGGGTTGCCGGTACCGCGGATACGAGTGTTACGCATGTTATCAATAAACAAGGTGAGCAGCGAATGGTGTGTGAATTCACGGTTGACTTTGTCCGAACTACCTGTGTCCCATGTGCTCAGGAGCGGTGCAACATCGTGTTGACCTACGCGGTGACTTCACGAGTGTAAATTTCAATGCACAACTTCTGTTGCTAAATCAAAGAATGAACCGCAGCAATACTACTTCTTTACTTCCTCTAGGTTGATGAAAATACGGGTATTACAGTATTCCAAGGCGGACAATCTCGTTGCGCTCAAGGAAGGCGTACATGTTGAAGTTGATGAACTTGGGGGCTAAAGGACGGCGAGCAGTATGGATGGATGAGACGCTCTCACAAGAGGACCTTCAGCACATGGCACCCATGCGCACTGTACGGTGCCCAACACTTGGGGACAAAATCTGCACCTTATCAGCGCGATGACTGAGGATGGATTGCTCGAATATTTTGTCCTAAAAGGCAGTTATAATAAAGATGTGGCGTTGGTTGTGGCTACTGCTTGATACCAATGTTATCCATTTGGCCGAAAGTTGTCTCCTTATTTTTGATAATGCACCCTGTCACACTGATCTGGAGAGTAGTTTCCAAGAGGAGCCTTACAGCACAGGAAGACTTCTACGACTGGCACCGTATTCTCCGCAACTGAACTCAATCGAAGGTATTTCGAATACTATTCAAGCTTGCGTTAAACAAACCATGAGGTGCCGATATTCCGAAATGCCCTGATGGGATCCAGATGGCGTACTGAGCAAGACTAAATGGAGGATGCGGTTCTTGAAGCAGGTTGTATCAGAAGCACGAGCGTGCGTGACGTTGCACCACTATCAACAAATGGTGCAGCATGTTCGAAATAACTATCCACATGCTTTTCACCTACTCGATCTGTAACCCATTCAACACCACTGATATATCTGTTATTAACGTTCACTGATGTGTTTCGTCAAAAGCACTGTGGGGCAGCCCCGAGTAGAGTACACCATGGCTTTCAGTTGAAGGCTCACTCGGAGATAGAGATAGCTACTGCAAACTGCGATTACAGTGGGTTCTCGCTGCAATGATAGACCACGTGTTGTTGACCGGTCGTAATGTAGTCCATTGAGAGTTACCGATAGTGAGAAGACACGCCACACACCATCCCAACTTAGGCAAATTTGTACGCGTGCCTGGGCATATATCATAGATATTGGTTACCATAGACGTCGGTGACTTGCTGGATGATCAATGTAAACGGCCGGGTCCAGTCCGTCCATCAGAGATATGGAAACCAGTGGGTTACGTTTGACAAGTGCGTATGGGTTAGCAGCTTGGAATGTTTGCCATTGCGGATTAGAGTGTTCTCCTCCACAGTTCCAGGCGACACTATCTTAGAAATTAACATGAAGGTATGCGTGTTGTTAAACTCAAATATTTACGCTGTGCTGAACCCCAGTATAGACCATGAATACCAAGGCTGTCGATAAATGACCTCATTATTCTTATATTATTTTCATGTCATTATTTTTATATTATGATCTTTATCTTCATTATTCGATCTTTCATACATAATGACCTTGTCTCCGGCCCATTCCGCGACACTGCGTGCACTACAACTATGGATGGGTGCTTTGCTCAGCAGGCTAATAGGCCGCCGGAAGGTTGAGTGGATCAGAGACATGGTCCCTAGGTACCGAAAGCACAATGAGACTGTCCGCGTTGGAGAACTGGAATATGCGTTTTTTGATCAAATCTAGTGAAAGCAAAGAAGTGGAATTGGTGCAGTAGGATTCTTCATGCCCTATACTCATGTCTTCATCTGACAATGTCGCAGTAGTCATCACAGAGGCGTAACTGGACAGCCAGTTAGCAGCTATGAGAAAGACATGACCCAGCCGCATAGACGGTCCGAGTTCAGCATCAATTCCATAGCGGACACTTGCAGTACTTTCTCCAAAAACCAAACAATGAATCACGGCATTTCCAATTCGAGGCGTCCAAGAGGTACGATCGAAAATCGGAAATAAGGTGCACAAGTGTGAACGGACATAATATATATTCCATACATAATGACCATATCCCTGGTCCATGCTGCATCATTGAGTGCACTACAGCTTCGACCCGCTCCTTTCCCTTTGCTCTGAAACCCAGCAACACGCCGAATTGTTGAATGAATTAGAGACATGTTCACAATGTACCTTAAACGCAAAGAGATTGTCTGCCTTGGAATACTGTAATACCCGTATTTTGATCAACCTAGAGGAAGCAAAGAAGTAGTATTGCTGCGGTTCATTCTTTGATTTAGCAACAGAAGTTGTGCATTGAAATTTACCCTCGTGAAGTCACCGCGTAGGTCAACGCGATGTTGCACCGCTCCTGAGCACATGGGACACAGGTAGTTCGGACAAAGTCAACCGTGAATTCACACACCATTCGCTGCTCACCTTGTTTATTGATAACATGCGTAACACTCGTGTCCGCGGTACCGGCAACCCTCACGTGCACGGACCAGAGCCCTCAACTGCAGTCATGCACGAATACATGTGACCACTGCGTGCCTCCACCGTTAGATCTAGGCTTTGCCACGTTATTGGACCACGCGCATGTTTGCTGAACTGCGTGCAACTGGCTTCAGTGTGACCCGCCTCTGCTATCTGTGTGTGCCAATAGGCGACTACGCACACTCGCAAAGCGCGAACAGCTAGCCTGTACTGCATCACAAGACACACACACAGGTTTGCAATGGTCTGAGCGCCTCATCGGTACCCCTATGCTGTGTGCGTACACGGGTGATTTATGCGCAACGAGAGGCCATGGCTGATTAAACTTTACGCCTTACGGACGAAAGTTGATGGGTAACGGATTAAAGAGATTGTATGAAGGCTGAAATCAATTGAGAAATGATATGGAAAGGGATTGAAGTATTGTGGACGTAGCGCATCCTTGGAATGGTGTAGACAACTACGAAGGAACGAGGAGCGACAATCAGTAAACGCAGACAGATGTGCGGAAAGAAACAACTACTTAAAGTGCGTTTCAGTGAATAGTGATGTGGGGTATCAAATGGCGGTTCGTTCTTTAATAACAGAATTGGGTCACTTCGTTTTCAGTTTCCGAGAGCTACTTCAATAAACATAAAGCCTGGTTAGTCGAGCAAACAAAAGTAACGACATACTAGTCGATTCGAGTGTAGCAGTTCATTTTTTCTAACGAATACGCAAAACGGCACCTGCATAGTAAGAAGGTCCTCTCATCGTGAACACGCACATTGCACTGTGAACGAATGCTCGCCATGAAGCTACTGGGACCCATGTCGACGTGAAAGTCCTCGGAGTTAGCATTTCAAAAGAAAATGCCAAAATGACAATTCGATAGTCAATGGTAAAACAAACTGGCTGTTACGATTCTAAAAACGTTATCGGTACGGAAGGGACAGATACGCACGCAAAATCGATTAAAGTACACATCATCAGGAAATAAACGGAGCACAAAACGTAAATCAACTGATAAACCAGTGCTGCTGGAAAGTCCAAAGATATGCTCCAAATTGTGGAAAGGTCACATGAAAATTAACTATTGGTAGGAAAAGCGAGGACCGTCAACACTACGACAGGAAATGGGTAAATTTACTTACCCATAATAAAGCAAAATGATCGGTCGTTGGGCAACACATCAAAATCTAGCCAAAACCATTTATGTATAAAAAAACTACATGGCTTGAGAAATAAAAATAATAGACAAACACGTATCTGGAATAAGTAACGAAATCGATAGGCAATCAGTCGGTTTTTCTGTCGAAGCAGATGAGGGTGGCACCCAGAAGAAACGCGTGCGACAGTAGCTTGGAGGAACGTACAACTAGGCGAACAGTGAGGCCACGAAGATGGAACGCAGAGACATCGCGGTAGCTGGTAATACAAAACGAAAAATAGGTAAGTACGTCGCCAATGCGAATTATTGCTGAAAACCACTACGGCAAACGATCGGGAAGAAGGAGAGTTGGCGCTTAAGAGATGAGCTTTGTCTGTCAGTGTTCAGTTGGTCAATGAGAGAGACGTCACTCGCCAAATGAATTCTCGCTGCTATACTGAGTGTAGAGGAACCCATCCGCATCGCAACAATCCGCATAGAGTTGACCGATGGTAGAGCTGGAAGAGAACGACAATTTAAGTTTAGGTTTGGATGGCATTTAGCACAGCAGTTAAAATAGCAAACGAAACAATACATCATTGGCCTTGGGTCTGGTGAAAATTGAAAAACTAAACAGTGAGGTACAAAAACTCAATTAATGGTAAAATGAACTACTCACTGACAAATTTGACGGGGAAAAAGAGGGATATGTGGTGTACTACAGTGTAGTCTTTTCATAAAAATTTGACCAGTAGGCATGGTGATAAGCAGCATGACAGCTAGTTAACGCAACGATTCGGACAATAAAAAGCCACACTTTGAAAATCAACAAACAGTTCAATTGAGAAACTACGATCTCGGCACCGAAATGCGGTCCAGCTAATTGTCACGATTCATGTCACTAGAAGAACAATAACAACCACAAGAAAATGAGGCTAGACACAAATAGAACACGAAGAAAATGGAAGCACTAGAAGTGAGCAGGATTAATCGAAAGAAAAAGGTAATGGCTGGATGTAAAAACCGGATGCACCAACCACCCTGACTGCGCAACTGCGCCATGCCTGATAGTCTTCAACAACTACTGTGGACTATTCCGTATCCAAAATCCATCAACACAGCATGCACCAGCCAAATCAAGTCCCTCAGTCAATTTATGCGTGCTTCTATGCCACACCATCGACTGGTTCCAGTGCGGTTTCGCCCAACTTGGTGCAGCGACACCGTGTAACGCACGCCGAGGAAGCCAGTCAACGGGCATACGGAGGGCACGACCTAGTCAACGTAAGCGGTCAACTTTTAGAAAGCACTCGAATGAAGCACCAGATGGTTTTTTGCCAAAATCCAAATACAACATCTCAGCGCTATTAACTCGATGCTTCCACCAAATGTGAGCAATACTCCGCGAGCATGGGGGTCAAACACGACCAAGCGTTCGATGTCCGCCGAGAGCTGGCCCGGTCTTTGATACATACAGTAACACTGACAACAGCATTATACACCATACCTTTCACGGAGAGGCTAATATCATGCCGTCTCCACAGATGCTTGACCTATGGAATGCCACACGGGCCTTGGTGATATGCGAAGTAACCACTCAAGTGAAGCGACCATCAGAGGTGACACATTTACTAAGTGAGTCGATCCACCATTTACAGTTGCTATTCGTGGTGTATTGGTTTAGTCCTGCAACAATATTTTGCGCTTTGAAGATGCAAAGCACATGCCGAAGCGAGCAACGCCACGCATCCGTCTATTCAGTGGTGCATGCACAGCCACTTCGTCAGACTCAAGGAGAGCTATGCCCTCCACATACTCACGAGTTGTCAGTTGATCGTCATACAAAACTTCCACTCTGGAAGAGAGAAATAATCACGTAAATTATGATCGGTTCGATCACAAATTTGAAAATATGGGAAATATAGGACCACCCAAGCGAACAATACTTGTCATGTGGAACAGCGAACAGCTTCTCGTAGAACCTTATCTCGGGAGTCACGGTAAAGGGATTGCAAAATGGATAGCAGCTTCCAGAAACTCCCTTCACGCACACCCGGTGTCACCACGAGCTTCCTCGATCATTAGCAGTGTAGGCATCATACGACACAAGGAAAACCACCATAGCCGGTTGTCTCTGTGTGTCTGCTTTAACACGTAAATGCATCACCCCGAGTTATAAGATTACTTGGAAAGATTCGAGCTATGGTGGCTCACCATAGGTGAGCTTCGGTAAGGCATTAAAGGCGCTCACTTTTTAACAGTTGTCGGACGAGAGGTCTATTCACTCCGGAAAAATCTGGCTTATCCTAAGCTACCGTCGAAATTGTCTTATGAAGTTGAAGGACCTCCTTTGGTCTCATTTATTACCGGCAAATTTCGTGGTTGCCGAAAGGGCAAAGTTCAACTTACTGATGCGTTAATCTAATCAATCTGATCACGATTTCACCTTCTAACTTCAGTCTCAAGCTTCATCTTGTGCATTTGGGGATAAGCTGGATGAATATTTGAGACATCGCCTGATTGCTGGCATAAATAAGCCCAATTTATATCGTCAGCTCTTGTCACTTCCAGCACCGACTTATAATCAAGTGAAGTCAATGCATTTTGACTATCTGGATGTTTCTGACATCACAAAATCCCAGACGACCGCTGTTGCTCAATAAGCTTTGTTTGGTTCAACCAAACGCCGAGTTCATGCCGAAACAAGAAAACAGTGGCAATCTAACGCGTTTAAATCTCACGGAATCGCTCAATCGCACGCCCAGAAAAATTCAGGCAGTGTAAATTGTAATCAAGTCGAGAAAAAGATTGGACAATGTTCCTTGTGGAAAGCTGCATTCCCGGTATACTTGTCCGCATCGGAATTCTAAATGCCATCATTGTGGAAAACTCGGACATATCCGCAGTGTTTGCCGTCAAGTCAAACGTTGAAATATAGTGAAACAAGTTGATGATGCCTCTGTGAACTCGCTAAAGGATTTCCGTTCGTTAACACTGGCTGTGAATACAAGTGGTCACTTATTCAATACTTTACGCTTCGGAAATGATACGTCACACCGTTTCATTGTTGATACTGGTAGTGTGGAGTCTCTCATTTCTAAAACGAGTCTCAATCATCTATACCCTGATGTTCAGCTTGATTCTACATCCATCACTATTAAAGGTATTACTGGACATACCCTTCCGATGATAGGATGTTGTACTTTACCTGTGTTAGATAAGCATTCTAACCCTGTCGAGTGTAAATTTGTTGTCGTTCGTCAAGGCCCGTCTATTCTCGGTCTTAAAGTTATGCAGGCGCTTAAAATAAGTGTCACTTTTCTGTCACACACTGATACTGACACTCAAATTCGTGGTTTACTGCACGATTGTTCAGTGACATCTGGTGGAATGAAAATCCCCCTGTTAATTTAGTAGTAAGCGGTGGTCCTGTTTTCTGTAAACGTCGTATACTTCCGTTTGGACTAAGGGAAACTGTTCGCAAGGCTCTTGTGCTTCTCTGTGATGTGGGGATTATTGTCCCAGTAAAAAGTTCACGATGGGACACACCTATTGTCACACTGTTAAAGCCGGATGGACAAACATCGACAGTTTGCGGCGATTACCGCAGTACCCTTAATACCAAGCTACTGCAGCGTACTTGTGCTACAGAAGAGCCTGATTCTATTCTCTCTCGTCTACATAAATCCAAAATTTTCTCGAAGCTAGACTTAACGGATGCATATTTGCAGATACCGCTCACTGAGGATTCTAGTTAACTGATCATCAGCATCACACCTTTTGGGTTGTACCGGTATAGATTTTTCCATTCGGTCTTTATGTGCTGCCAGCCATATTCCAAGACGTGATGAACTCCATTGTGAAAGGCCTGGAGGGTGTTGTCGTCCATCAAGACGATGTGTTTGTGTATGCTGCCGATACACAGATTCATGATTCGCGACTACTTGCAGTTTTAACTCGCTTCAAGGATGACAATGTGAACATCAACCCAAAGAAGCGCCTAATTCGTGTCCAAGAGATCAGTTGTCTTGGTTATCATAATACATCTGAAGGATCCAAACCAGATCCCAATCGGATAAAGCCATTGGTTGATGTGAAGTCGCCCACCAATGTTCATGAGCTTCGATCACTTATAGGAGCCCTACAGTATTATTCCAAATTCATTCCTAATTGTGCATTCCTTGCTGATCCTTTATTCACTTTTTTGAATGACAAGAGTTATGTTTGGTTAGACAAACATGAGCATGTTCTTCGAAAGCGTTTGCAGATGCTTACATCTGGTTGTGTTCTTCGTATATCCTCTCCGAAACTACCCACCGTACTTTTCACAGATGCCTTGCCAACCAGCATAGGTGCTGTGTTAGAGCAAGATGGGTACCCTGTTCTGTGTATCTCAAATCGAATCAGCAATGCTGAAAAGGGGTATGCTCAGACCCATCGAGAAGCTTTGGCTGTATACTGGGCAGTCACTAGACTTCACAAATATTTGTTTGGTCTCAGATTTACTATTGTGACAGATCATGAAGCTCTAAAGTTCATTTACAGCCCTGCAAATTCTTTAGCTAAAGCTTCAGCAGCTATGGTTCAAAGGTGGAGTGTTGCTCTTAGCGCGTACAACTATGTGGTTGAGCACATAAGTGTAAAGTTCGTTCCTCACGTCTGCTACTTATCGCGAAATGCAACGGCATTCAAAGCCGATTCTGAGATGAGTTGTTTACTCACTCAGCCGCTTCCAGTCTCTCCTTCAGCCCTTATCAAGGAGACTAGAACGTATTACGGGTCATTGATTTCTGCTCTCAAACGAGGATGGTCTGTTTCTCTAAAACGGAAGTTTCCACAATTTTATGTACGCCGTGATGAGTTGTGTGGTACACCTGATGGAGTACCGTGTGTGAATGACCGTGTCGTCATTTCGCCGAGTTTGAGGCCAGCTGTTCTGACGGATTTATATCCTGGTCATCTTGGTGGTCCTTAGCTCGATGCTTGTGCTGGTGGCCGGAAGTAAATGCAGATATTCGACGAACTGCTTCTGATTTCCCGAACTGTAAACACAAGATCCTACAGCAGCCGTCCAAGTGAACACTATGGACGATGGCATTCGAATCCTGGTAAAGGATACATATGGATTACTGCGGACCATTTCTGAAGAAGTTCTATGGACTTGTGGTGGTGGATTCTCATTCAAAGGCGCATGAATTATTTTTGACTGATAAATGAAATCCTGCTTTTACTGTTCGTGTCTTGAGAAAAGTGTTAAGTAGGGAAGGAGTCCCAATAGCTGTTGTAAGGGAAAATGGCTCACGTTTTTCAGCTTCAATTGTTACCAATTGGAGGCAGAGTCTTGGATGTCGTCACCTTTTACTGCCCCCACCCGACATCCATGCTCTAATGGCCTAGCTGAAAACTTTGTTGCAACTTTAAAACGTTCTGTTACCGCTTGTGCTCCTACTTCATTTGAATAGCTTGATCTCTGTGTTGATAACATCCTTCTGCAATACCGTAACTGTGTGCATTCCAC